TATTTTTAAGGTGTGTCTTTTAAAAGTAGCACTGAAAAACAAAAACAAAAAAGGTTGAAAGGAAGCACTTGATCAATGAAATATGCTGAATACAAAGGAGGAAAATGTGCCCTGCATTTTCCTAATGCCTTCTATTGTGTTAGTAAACAGATTATAACCCAAACACCTTCACTATTCAGTGGAGTTAGCTGTGACTCAGGATTAAGAGCTAATTGAAGATGACACAGGTCTCAGAGCTGGTGTGGATGGATGTGAAAAGATCAGATTAGCCAAATGAGGGATGAAAAGAGTGATTAGTGTATCCCTAGGAAAGGACAAGTTTTGAAAAGCATAATCTTACAGAACGTTTGTATAGAACTTGTACAAATAAGACATACCAACATTCCATAAAGTTCTAATTTAACAGAGTTAACGAAGTTAGGTGAGGTCAGAAGAAAAGATGATAAAAGAGAGACCTCCCAAGGTGGGGTCTTATAAAGGTAATAGACTTGGGAACCAGAGATGACCTCTGAACTCCCTGAAGCAGGCAAGGTGTCATATTAGCATGTAGCTCACACCTGCCAAATTAATGCTGATGCTAAGTCAGTAGTAAGGGTTAGGAGCTTGCATTTTAGAGCCTTCCATATTTTTCCCTTTGCTTGTGTTTATCCTGTAATTGAAGGGTCCTGAGTATGATTTGATAGGAATTACATTTTTATTTCTTAATACTTTTAGAGGTTTGTATGGTCTGTTCAACATTTCAGAGCCTCCATAAGAATCCTGGATTAGCCAACAGCACAATCTGTTGTGATAGTCATTTCATTGAGAGGTAATTTTTTATCTTATGTGTTTCCAAAATAAATAGATAGAAAAATCTCTTCTACACCCACATCAGTAAACAGCTTACCTATCAAAAACTAGGTATCAAGTTTTTTTTCTCTCTCTCAATCAGAAGAAAGTCTTGCCATGTTTTCTTGCCAAGTAGTGAGTCCTGCATTGTTTTTTGCACTTAAGTCATATTTTCTGCAAAGTCAATAATAGTTTAAGCCAATCTGGATGATTTGTACTTATCACGCCTAGGAACAGAATTCTTAAGAGTCTGACTGACAGCAGAATTAAAAGCTTTCCAGTTCCTCTGAGATGTTAGCAATCTTAATGATCCTGATTTTACTTTTTAATGCCATGAACAAATAATAAAAGTACTGTCAACTGATTCAGTGGCCTTATGATTAAATACATATTTCACTTTGTGCCTAAAACAAGTACGAGAGAGAGAGAGTTCACATAAGGAATGGGGGTGAGCCAAAAGTATGGATGGCATATTTATTTGCATGAAATAAGAAGAATACATTTTTACTGCTGTTTATAGAAAACATGTTCTTTGGCACAAACTTCACAAAGACTAGCAGGAACAGAATCCCATGGAATTAAGTTTAAAGTAAATTGGGGGTAGATACCTAGGAATTCCTATAGGATTATAAGCAGTTTGGTAGTTAAGTGCCAAACAGGCAAATAGGTCCTCGTGTTTATAATTGTGCTTATGAAAAGAATATGTTAAAATCTATAATATTAAGATACAATATTAACTCTGGTGGAAGGGACTTCCAGGGGAAATTTTATGTTTTTTACCACCATTTAAATACAGGTATTGAACATGTAAAATACTTAACTCTCATCTTGCGTTCAGAAGTTTTTATATATTTATTAAAATTAAATTTGGCGCTTTTTTTCCTTCTAAGTCATTTTGCTTAGAAGAAACTCATCTTTCTTATGCAACTTTTTCTTTTACTCAAACAATTTAATTCTTAAATCAACATATGTCAGTATGTTCTATTAGCAAGCATTTTAATACCTTTTTCACGGTCAGCTCTCCTTTGTGAGCTGAACAGACTATTATTCCTTAAGTAGCTGGGAGTCTAGGACAGGTCACCTCATGGGAGAGGTCAGATACAACCATAGGAAATCCAACAAAACTATAATATGCGGAGAAAGGGAGAAATATATTAAAAAGGGGGTATTTAGTTATTAATTTTTAAAAATATAAATCATATGTATATGGTATACAGTATCATAAGGGGGTTAAAAGAACAAGGTTGGGGTCAAAATGACTGAATTATCTGGTCCTGGGCAGTTACTTAACCTCTCTGAGCCTCAGTTTCCTCCTTTGCAAATGTAGATGAGAATCCCTCCTACTTAGATTTGATGTGAGAATGAAGTTAGATGATGCATGTGAAATTCTTAAGAGGTTGAACATAAGACAGCTTTATGAAATGTTATCTATTTTTGGTATTTGAAAGGGCAGGGCAATTGTACCTTTTTTTGTTTGTCAACTAGATATAGAAAACTGAAGTTTCTTCAGTATAATGGGGACATTTGCCAGATGCACTAGCAATAAAGCAGTTTCTTTTTTTTTTTTTCATTTTTTTTTTAGTGGGCAGTTTTTTAAGCAAATCAATTAACATTTTCTCTAAGCATGATTTTTCCCTTTTCTTTATTGCTTTTGCATACCTCATTAACAATTCATTTAAATGTAAGTGTCAGAAACAGCTGCTCACAGGGACAGCATCCTTTCTGGGGATGAGGTGATCATTTGATATCCCTTCCGTAGTGGTAGTGACTAAGGCCCTCTATCTTAGTCTTCCTGACATCCAAATCAGGATGCTGGCTTGCACCAAGAAGGCCAGCTTGCAGTGGACACAGTCTAATTTCCTGGGATTCACTAGTATACAAAATCTAGCTTTTGTATTGCCTTTGATAGTAACACCTAGTTCATGGTGCAAGGCATAGAAAATATCAGATTGATCTTAACTTTTGAAACATTGACTCCAGTAAGAAGGCATTTGATTTGATTTTGTTGATTCAGAGGTCCACCACCTTTTCCCTAGTATCCCAGAAATGCTGAGCAATCAGTATCTCTTCACTGAGAAGGAGCAAGACTTGAAAGAGAGAAAAGATATGGAATAAGAAAAGAAACATTTTTAAAAATGTTGAGTTACTTCCTTTTCCCTTGAGTTAGCAGTCTTTGGGATGCCTAGAGTTGGGAAAAAAAATATAGAGAGGACAGAAATTGTAGTAGGCATGAGGTTTATTGGTTATCTTATGTCAAAAGTGCATATTCAAACAAGAGAGACCTTAGGCACAATAGCCAGAGAAAAGCCACAGTCATTTTGGTACTTGTAACATCGTCGCTGTGTTTAGGAAACAATGGCACCTGCTCTGGCATGTCCTTGGATAGCACCAGGCTGTTCCGGTGGTCAGAAGGAGCTACCTCTCAGGGTCCTACCCCATGATAGTTTTAAGACTCTTTGGGCCCATAAATCTGTTGCACCATCCCTCCTCCTGGCATCCAGAGCACATCAAAGGATAATAATAATAATGGTGATTAGAGCTTCTATTTGTTAAGCATGAACTGCTAAGCACTTTGTATACATTATCTCATTTAATTCCTATCACCATCTTTTTAGGTTGTTGATATATTCTAGTTTGTACTGATTCGAAGAGGTATAAAGTCTTGCCCTTCTTGTTTAATATTTAAGAGACCTGGCCCAGAATCCTATCAGAAGATTTGATACAAGTCTAATGGAATTTCCCCTCTCGGTCTGGGTTGTCATTCTCTGAAAACTATAGAATTACTACAAATTGTGAAAACTCAAGTGAAAGACTTCATCTAAGAATTGTATTGTTCATGTGGATCTGTAGAATTTGGGCAGAATTCCCAGTTGGCATGCCAGCATATCAAAATTCCCCCCAAATCTCAGGAGCATCAGGGCTTGGGTCAGTTGCTCCAGGCTAAAGTGTTTTTTGCCCTACACACATCATAGTCTCAGTATGCCACGCATGACATGGCACAGGTACAGAAGCACTGGCCAAGCGGGGTGGGTGGTCACATGGCCTTGGAATCCAATGAGATGGGTGAGTTATTGTGTATGTAGCTTGGGTTAAGCTCCCTGGAACTCCTGGGAATCTGGAAGCAAGAGATGAGATTGTTTTCAAGGAAGGAATGTTTATCACATATCAGAATCTTTTGGTTTTTTTCTCCCTTCAGAGTGTTAGATTTAATGTATATACAGGTAATTAAAAAAAAAAAAAAGCAAAACACCTTTTAGACATTGTAAGCTGTTCCCTTGTTTTCAAAACTCTTCCTCAGATTTCAAGAAATATAAAAAATTTGTTTTATCACATTTCTCTTGTCTATTTTTTATCGGACATGTTGATGAACTCTGAAATATTTTAAGTAATTTATAGGAAAAATTAAAGACAAATTATGAGACCCAAGTAAGTCAGACTTTTTTTCCTAGCCAATATAGATTTTTTTTTTAATTTCATAAAAAGTCTACTGGGGTCAAACTTAAATACAGTGGTTAATTATGTGGGCTCCCCGGCTCCATGACTGGTGCTGTGTAATCTTGATCAAGTTACTTTGCTTTTCCCTGTCTCAGTGTTTCCATCTGTAAACTGAGGTAATACTAGTACTTCATAGGGGTATTGTAGGTTTAAATGAGTGGATACATATGGCATATTTAATATACAGCCAGATAGACAATCAGCAGTCAGTAAATGTTAACTATGGATAGAAAACCAAGAAAGAGGACTCTCCATTTCCAAAGGTAAAGATTTAAATTATTTCCTTCTTTTCTGAGCACTGAGTTTGCTGTTAGCCACTTGTTTATCCCATGCAGTAGTGAAGGCTCCTGGATTCCTCACTGTGTTGCTGCGTGCTGATTTTCCTGGTAACATCTGCTGACTTATGTTAGTTTGAGATTCACCTCCCACTCGGAATCTCAGCTTTCTCATCTGTTCAATAGGGAGAATGACAGTGCCTGCCTCAGGGGGCTAGTGAGTGTATCAGAAGAACTACTGCCTCAACAGTTCTTGTCATAGTATTTGGCACAGAGCCGGCGTGTAGTAAATATCAGAACCATCTACACTTCTGTCATGTCTTTCAAGAAAACAACGCATTAAAGTCTCTTTTGAACAGGATTCTTGATGAGGAGGCCCTGTATCTATTTTTGCTATTTCAGACAGTTCTGCAAGTGTTCGGTGTGATTGCCGTGGCGGTGGCAGTGATTCCTTGGATCGCCATACCCTTGGTTCCCCTTGGCGTCATTTTCTTTGTTCTTCGGCGGTACTTCTTAGAAACGTCGAGAGATGTCAAACGCCTGGAATCTGCAAGTGAGTATGAGGCTGTCGGGTCGGTGTGGCAGTGCTAGCTGTCCTCCATCCATGCCGTAATTAAGGAGACCCCTGCAGTTCTGCACGCCATGTCCTCTGGAATTTCTCACTAAATTAACATCAGGTACTTGAACATGACGGCCACCATGACTTGGTGTGACCCTTAGGGCAGATGGAGCTGGTGGCCTGCCAGGTGCGTTTGTAACGCAGTACAAGGAAGGAGTGAAAGACATACGTGGAAAAATTGTCCCCTGGAATGTGAGCCCCATGAAGACAGGGAACATTTCTGTCTTGTTCATGACCTTCCTCCTCACACAGAGCAGGCAGTCAACAAACGTTTCTCTTAGAAATAAAATATTTTTTCATGTTGGAACTAGAACTAATACAGAAGGAAAATAATCAGGGAATTTTTCTTCCCTGAAGATTCTGGAAATGACAAGGAAAGGAAGAAATTAGAGAAAGGAAAGGAAGGGTCAGAAATATACTGAAATGTCAGAAGTCATACATTTGGGAATTATATTACTTTTGCATACTTGAAAACTGGCTAATGAGTTGCAGTTAAGTATTGGGAAAAGGTAGCCGTTGTTGTTCTCAGTTTTTGCTCTTTATTATCAGTGGCACTAGGTGTAGAGCCACGGTGCTTGAGATTTCATCCCTGGCTGTTCGGGTCAATGGACGCTGAAAAGAATCCCCTCAGGAGAACACAAATTTATTCAGTTTAGGTTGAATTTAGTCTATTACTCTATTCAACTCCCTCATTTTGGAATAATGGGAAAAAACATTTCATGATTAATCACTCTATTCTACACATAATCAGGAGGATGAAATAATCCAGAGCTCATCTCATTATGAATGCACAGAGTAACATATTTCATTATGATTAAAATGAAAAATCATAAGGAGAGTAGATTTTTTTTAAAATGGTATAAGGATGATAGTGAGAAAGTAAAGGAGGTCTCAGATATGTTCCAGGAAAGGTTGTTTTTCTAGAAGTAACCTCTTGATGTAGATTTTTGTCTTTGGCCATTCTCATCCATGTGGAAGTGGAGAGAAGAGGACCTACTATGGTTTCTTTCAAGAAGCAATGTAGAATTTTCTCGAAGTCTGGGACATACTATAATGCTTAAGAAAATTTTGATCTAAAGATTCTGAGAACTTTGTCATGGCCCCTGTGGAATATTGGGGTTTTGCTGTACCCCATTTCACTGTGACAATAAGTTAAATATGAATGTTTCCTTCTTCATGCTCCCAGATAACCAAATGTGGTGGCCAGTTGATGACAACTATTTATTGTTATCCATTTGGGTGATGGGTCTGTGCCATAAATAACAATTCCACTTTTTTTTTCTAAGCAGCAATTGATTGTGTTTTTTGAGGCCACCACTGAAATCGCCATCAAAAAGAAGGCGGCCTGATTGCTATGGCAGGAAGGCATAAACCTCTTTCCTCTTCGTGCTTTAAAGAACTACCAAAGCCCTGAGACTTATTTTCAGATTGTACTTCCTAGCAGCCTCTGGAACCATAGGCTGACACTTAGGCAATGTTAATGACAAATGTGCAGTTGACCATAATGGTTTTTTTATTTTTGCAAAAGTGAGTGTAGCAACAGTCAGTTATAGAGAAGTACTTAAAACGAGGATGGCATCATTTGGTAGTGCCTGGATTGTGACGCCATATCCATATTTAGTCCATAAGGATGCTGGGATCCACTAGCAGTTTCTGCCACAGGCATTGGCTGGAGGAGTGTGGTTAATCCAGGTGCCATGTGTTTTCAGGACATAGATCCTTGAGTCTGTTGTTTTGTAAAGAGTTTTCATGCCACTTTCCTAAGGACTTTGTTAAACATAAAAGTGCTTAATAATTGGATATTAGCTGAGTAAGATTTTGTGGTTTTCTAAACATGAGCTACAAAGTCTCAGAAAAAAAAATACATTCATGGAAGTCTTTAGCAAAAATTATTCTCCCTACAAGATTATTCTCCCTACAAGACACTGATTCAGATTAAAAACACAGCCTTGGGAATAAGACAGAGTTGGGGTTAACACCCAGCACTCCAACAATGTCACTTACTTGGGTTAATTTAGTTAATCTTGGGCAGTGCTCTTAATGCCTCAAGTCTGTTTTCCCTCAGTCAAGGCTATAATAACCCCTGCCCTGTTGGGTTCTCATGAGGATTGCCTGAGATAATGCTTGCAAAGTGCTCACTGGCCACTACCAAAGCCACTGGAACCTTGCACATGAAGGAATTAAGAACAGTAGTAACTGGAGGTCTCACTTAGTGTTAATGATACCCAGCAGCAAGGTTGTCAGACCAGGCTGCAGCTCCCTGCCCTGTTCCTTCTCAGAGAAGATTCTTTTAGGGTGACTTTCCCAGAGAGTCCTCAGGCTGTGGCAAACGCAGCTGGTGATCTTGTGAAACGTGGGGTTGAATCTATCTGAAGCTGGTGACCAGTGCCATTGATGTTATCCCAGTCTACTGCAGCCAACCGAGTCTGGGTGGGAAAAGGCAAGATAATACTGGAGCCTTGGCATGCCTCTCCCTGGGTACTAGTTCCTTGTCTTTGCAGACCCCAGGTCACCCCTACTGGCATGCCGCTCAGCCCCAGTGGGGTGTGAAAGAAACAGGATTATCTTTTCAAGGTACAGATTCCTGCTGTACCTCATTGGGGTGAGATAAAGTGTGTGACGTGGCCTTTGGGTTCCCTGGTGTCCAAGGCTGGGATGATTCCTCATGGCTAAAGTTGACCCTCTCCTAAAACCCAACTGGAGATAAGGGGGCTAGTGAGGACTGCCAAGCTGAAGAATTTCCTTCAGGGGCTCTGCCTGCGTGAGCACCACACCTTACTCCTTCTCATGACACCGCCTTGTCTAGACACGAGAACACGGTTCTAGTGAGTTCTCTGAGCTTTCTGGAGCTAGACTCTTGGCACTCTCTTGGTAGGGTGATAAGGTCTGGAATTTGCCTGCGTTTGCTCTGGGAGCACCCTGTTTCCAGGTGGACTGAGTCCCAGGCGCGGGTTGGAATGTCTGCTGGGGCGTGCGGAAAGGCCTGTGCAGAGCTTCTGGCCATTCTTATTTGGAGCATGAGCTCAGTCCTTTTGTGTCTATATTACCGTATTAAATGTGCAAAGTTAAAGGAAGCTAAAATAACAAAAGGTTACTCAGTATACTGAAGAGAGAACAGGGTGGGTGCCAGAGGAAGACCCTAGACACACACCGGACACTCAAAACCACAGAATCGCATAGGGCCCTTGTAAGAAATAGGGACAAGGAGAAATGTTAGGTCAGGTCCTGGTTGGCGAATCTGTGTTCAGGGAGAATTTTTTTTTTCCTTTTTGTCTTTTTTACTGACCGGTAACGGGATCGCAACCCTTGGTGTTGCGCCCGTACCAGGGACTGGCAACGGGATCACAACCCTCAGTGTTGTGCCTGCACTGCGCTCAGCCAGTGAGCGGGAACCGGTCTCCACATGGGATCTGAGCCCTCGGCGGGAGCGCCGCCGCACTCCCAAGTGGCGCACTCTCTGGTGTGCCACCGGGCCGGCCCTCAGGGAGGGTTTTTTTTCTCAAAGCAGTATCACAGGAGAGGGCTCCTGCTGGTTACTGTCCCTAGTCAGCTACCCTAGTCAGGAAAGAGCCCCAGGGAGGCACTGCAGGAGCAGGCCCACAGCCCAGGTCTCCTTCCTGGCCCAGGGCTTCCCACCTTCTCTGAAACCCAGTGCTTCATACTCAGAAGCTTGCTCCTTCCTCGCTTCTGGAACCGTGGACTGTGGCTTATGGGGAGGCTCTGTGTCTCGGCACGTTTATATATACCCCAGCAACCCGGCCCCAAACACATGCAGTGCCCCTGTGTGCGGTGAGCACCTCGGTACGGTACTGGACTGGCACACAGACTCGGATGCAGGCTGAGGAGTCAGCCCCAGAAAAGAAGCTTGAGTTTTTCCTTTAATTTTTTTTTCACCTGTCATTTTATAAGTTATATAGCCTCTTATAAAATAATCTAAACTTCTCCCAAACACCCCATGTTTTACGAACAGGTCTTCCCTAGGAGATATGCGGGTAGCAAAGTGATATGTCAGTGTTTCCTACTCACAGAACACAAATGATTCATTCCCAGCAAGGATAAAGATGATGTGCTCCCACAGGCCCCTGTCCCAGTCCGGCCTCATCTGTGGGGAGAATGAAAACTGTCAGGAGTCGTCCCTGCCCGGCAGTGGGCAGCCCACAAATCCCCTGATGTGCAGGAGCTTGGCCCTGGTGGTCATAGTATAGTGTGCTGGAAACAAGTCGCCAGTCATGGGACATCAGGCCCCAAACAAAAATGAAGTTACACGAAAGAGAATTAGCCTTTTTTCATTCTGTAAAGGTGACAGAGCAACTAAGGCCACAGTCAGATTCTGAAAAGGTGAGGGCACTGGTACATGCCAACATGACCTCCAAACCTCAGGACAAGTTTCCAGCAGGACAGTTATAAAAACATATGACAGGCTCCTGGAGCTGAAGTCAAGACTGTTCAAAGGCATGTTGGCTGGTCAGGTCCTGCAGGCACAGGGCAGTGCAGTCCCTGGGTATGACGTGACCATAAAGGACTCTTCTCATACCATTGGGTACAGAGAGATACTCTAGGATTCAGGGAGGTGACAGACAGTCCATTCAGCTTACCATCGAGCACCAGTCCTGTGCCAGGTGCTATTCCAGTTATCAGATACGATGGCTATCTCCTGGCCCTTAAGAAATTAATAATCTAAGGTGGCGACAGACACATAAAGAGCTAATTATGATTCAGTGTGGTGAGTACTCTGAGAATTATTTTTTTTTAATGCTATTGGCTCAAAAATCAATGAAAAATAATTTCTGCCCAAAGAGATGTCAGGGAAGAATATGAGGGGAAGGCCTTGAAGGAGGCTGTAAGCAAAGAAAGAATAATGACCAGCTTTGAATTTGGTCATAGGTAAGATCAAACTTTTGTTTCCAGGTCCTTAAAGTGAGCTGTGTGTTTGATCAGGAATCTGAGGGTGGACATGCAGGGTCCTCTCCAGGCCACTGGGAGCATTTGTTCCTGAAATGAGAAGCCCCCTAGGCAGCCCAGAGCATGCTGTTTGGTGGGATGTGGGACCACAGAGTACGGGAGGCAGCTGGTGTCCTTGCATCGAGCCTCATGAGCTTTGTCTCTGTTTCCTCAGCGCGGAGTCCTGTATTTTCCCACTTATCGTCTTCTCTCCAGGGGCTCTGGACCATCCGGGCGTACAGAGCTGAAGAGAGGTTTCAGGAGCTGTTCGATGCACACCAGGATTTACACTCAGGTGTGTGCGCTTCTGGAAATGGTTTCAGCAGATGAGTTCTGCTTTCTGTGACTCGACCTCCCCCATCAGGCGACCTTGTTGGCCAGCACCTCTGCCTTCCTCCCGCCCCAGTGCCATGTCTTGCCTTTGCACATCTTCTCCTTCCCCGGCCCCTTTTGGAATCCCTCTGCCCATCCCCTCATCCTCCTCCTGCCCCCGCAAACTGGCTTGCTGGGGTCCTTCCATCATCATGCCCTCTGGCTCTCTGTCCCTTTAGGGCAGGGATCAGCAAACTTTTTGCAGAAGGCCACCTAGTAAATGGCTTAGGCTTTGTGTACCGTATTATCTCTGTTGAACCTACTCAACTTTGCTGTTGTAGCTGGAAAGCAGGCATAGATAATACATCAGCAAGGCTGTGGCTATGTTCTAATAAAACTTTATTTACAAAAACAGGTGATGGGCCATTCTTGGCCCATGGGTTTACCGACCTTTGATTTAGAACATACAGGGTGGCAGAAGTGACGCAAAAAAACAATTTCCTGGTTATCAGATTTGCTACCCTCTTGATGTGTATTATTTGTATCAGTGAAGTTTTTTCTACTTAGAAATTTCAGAATTTCCTCTAAATCTACATAATCCTGGCTTGTCTTTCTAATCTTTATTGTATTTTGATGATTAAATGGCACTTTATAAACCACATGCAGATCCTTTTAGCAAGATAGTTATTTAGATACAGCCCCTAAGCAATATCCAGTGTGTGCAGGGCCTTCTAGTAAGTGTGGAAGGTGCTGGTAATAAATTGGGAGCTGCTTTCTCTGCTGTTGGAAGACTGGGAGCAGTTAAATGTGCAAGTGGGTGAACTTTACATTAAGGCCCAGCACTACAAAAAATGCACTTACGAAACCGTTCTTCTGTATCCTTTATTATGATTGTATTTCTGTTTATAAACTCTGGGTTGCATATTTGAATGCAACTCCCCGCAGAGCCACTGCACTCTTTTGCATGTGAGGCATCCATTGCCTGGTATTATTTAGCTTTCCTCTTCAGGTTCCTTGAGTGTGTGACTTTGCCCTACTCTGTGTAAAAATCTTCTGTGGCTCAGCTGAGCAACACGCTCTCTCACATTCATTGTGGTTCATATGGTTTTTGTGCTTCCTCATCTTGCTTGTTACGGTTTGCGAATCCAGAGGCGTGGTTCTTGTTCCTGACGACGTCGCGATGGTTCGCTGTGCGCCTGGATGCCATCTGTGCCATCTTTGTCATTGTTGTTACCTTTGGGTCCCTGATTCTGGCAAAAAGTAAGTACAGATGTGAATATTTATGGTATGATTACAATTTATAGCTGTGTTTACAGTTATTAATGTAAGCTCTTGCCAACTTGTCTGCTGTTACGTGCTGTTTGGTTCTAATGGGGTGCACTAAAGCATTCACGGGGAATCAGGCTGGGTAGCATTCAGTCCTGTGACCCATGGAGGGGAGTCATTTGAGTCTTGATGGGTTCCTTTTACTGTTCCTTGAATAGCTTGAGGTATGTGCAAATGATACTCTGAACATTCCTGGTGGTGTCTCTGGTGGTTGTGAGGAGGGAATCAAGTTTATGGTTAAGCATTTTGTCCAGCTTAGGGTTTTAGGTTTTAGCTGTCAGACTACTTGGAGCTATTGGCTGTAGTTGCCTGGTGCATCGGGTCGAGAAAGATTCTCAGCAGGAAAGAGCCTTGTCATTACTGCCACGTGGGTAGCAGATGAGCAGGCGTTGGCATGCATGGCAAGAATTCGCCATCCCTAACTCTTCCATAGTAACAACACTGAGTGACAATATTTAATAATAGAACAATCAATGGGAGTCATACTTTAGTCTCAAAGGCACTGGCTCTGAGAACCTATTGCCTTGGTTTTAGTGGTTGCATTGGAAGTAGAGAGTAGAATTACATAATGGGCTTTGAAACTACGACGACAAATGTCTGAATAATGACTTCATTCCTCGCATGTGCTTTTTTTCAAATGCATGTCAATCCTGTTGGGATTAATAAACTCATTTAATAATCTTTCTGAATTTAGAGTGGTTTTGTTTTCATTGTCTCGTGATCTCTATCAGTAGATAGTAAAAGTGTAATGGTTACCGTCATCCTTACATGTAAATTGTCGAAACATCGTGAAGGGGAGGTAAAGTGGCAGAAGGAGCCAGGCTTGGGTTCGGAATGAGACTGACTTGATTCCCTTCTTGCTCCTCATTTAGCTTTGGATGCTGGGCAGGTTGGCTTGGCCTTGTCCTACGCCCTCACGCTCATGGGCATGTTCCAGTGGTGCATTAGACAGAGTGCCGAAGTGGAGAATATGGTAATGTTTATCTTAACATTCTCAGCCTTCTCAGGTCTCCTAGCTATTAAATGGCATAAAAGCATTTCTTATGTAAAATATTAAAACTGTTATTTTTTCATCGTAACTAACAGAGTTTTTTAAGATCCTTCCACCATCTGTTTAAAGTTAATGTAAAATATACATCTTTTTCTCAGTCTTATGTATGCTATGTCAGCAGGTTTTATATTCATCACACGCTGTCTTCAGATGTAATAAATGTCTCTGTAGGAGGGAGGTTCTGAAATCCTAGAGAGGATATAAGCTAATTTCTTAGAGTCCTGTTTATTTTTGTTTCTTACTGGGTAATTGCTCATTCCTAGTAAAAGAAGAATTGGGTATTTTGAGGTTGTTTGTTTAATTAATAGCCCACCCCCACTCCCCCATTTTAGCTTTTATTCTCTTATGTGATGAACAGAAGGCAGGAGGCCTTGGGTTTGCTGGCGTCCCTTCATAGTGTAGCACAAGGCCCCTCTTGGAAGGTTTCAGGTTATGGTTGTTTAGGAGGGCTTAATCAATATGTAAATTATTTCCTCTTTTAAATATTTGCACTTTCTCCTAAAGGGAGGTAAACAATAAACCTATCCATTTCATTATCCTCATAGAGAAGAAAGTGACTAATTATAGTGAGGTTCAATGGCCATTCAGTTTAATTGATCCATAGCAGGTGGCCCATCTGTAGCAAAAGATTATCGATCAGTGTGGCCATAAATATTCTTTTCTTTTACAAAATTATTTTTCTGTTTACTCAGATGTGTAAAGTGGATAAATAAAAACATTCATTACATTACTTCTTTTAGTTTTAATATAATGTCGAAGGAAGTAGTCATAAGTGAAGGTGTTATATGATGATGAACAAGTTTGGAAATCATTAAAGTCCTCATCAATCTCTTGCTTCTCTCCTTTGGGAATGATACGATCTGACTTAACCAGCAGCATGTAAAAGAAGAATGCTTCATTGACAATCTCTTAACATCTATAAACAAGACCCTCCGTTCCTATCCTATGTGGTTGTCATATCTCTTTCAGATGATTTCAGTAGAAAGGGTGATGGAATACACAGACCTGGAGAAAGAAGCACCTTGGGAATACCAGAAACGCCCGCCACCCACCTGGCCCCAGGAAGGAGTGATTGTCTTCGATAATGTTAACTTCATGTACAGTTTAGATGGACCACTGGTATTGAAGCACCTGACAGCACTCATTAAATCAAGGGAAAAGGTTTGTTTAAACCATCTTGCCTCTAAAATTTCGGTTAAGGATTTGGTGCCTTATCTGCTTGCTGGCTTCCTAGTGGATGTGTCAGGGGACTTTTCATCTCTCTGTGGATGCAGATTAGATCGGTGCTGACATAGATCAATCTGCCTTGGAAAATGACCATGGAATGTGGATGCCAACATTTCTTTCTTCATGCTGAGGGCTGCCTCTTGGTGGTCAGTGGTGCTTGGCACCAGGGCTCACATGTTACCTGACCCAGGGTCCTGTAATTATTCATGCCCAGGCCTAGGAAGTCAGCCTTGGCTCCCTGTCACCAGTGCTCCCGTGTCTGGTTCTGTCGATCCTTACGTCATTGCATTTCTCAGATCCTTCTCTTCTTCCGTTGGCACAGGTTCCATTCTAGCCTTCCTCCTTGCTCTCCTCTGTCCCTCAGCCCATTGCTTAGTCTTTCTTGCCTTTCTCCAACCTGTCCTTGGCTTTTGCTCTGCCACCCTCACACCACAGACTGTTTCTTTCTGAAACACAGATCTGACCCTGGCGTGGCTGCCTGCCAGCTCCTGGCCTGGGTGAGCTGCCGCTGACTCAAGCATGGCCCCAGGCCCACCCCGGCAGGAGCTGCGTGGCCAGCTGTCACCACCAGGGGAGAGCCTGGAGTCCACCACCCCTCGGAGCTCAGAAACCAGAGCTGCAAGCCGGAGGCAGTAAGGGGCCTAGAGACTCACACAAAGTTAAGGAAAGGAAAGGCCAGAGGGGCTTGGGAGACAGACCCTGCTTAGGTTTGAGGGCTGGTTCTGCCAGCATCTCTGTCTGGCAGCAATGTCCCTGTGACACTGGCTTGGGACTCTCGGCTGGGACTAAACCAGAATAAAGCAGGCAGTAGGAAGCTCCTTTCCAGCCTGTGCTCCAGCCTCTACTCCCAGCATGGACACACACCCCCAAGTCAGGATGCTCCCACTCTCCCAAAGTACCTGAACTTCTGGCTCCCAGCACACCCGCCACCCCTCAGATGTCCCCGTGCCGCACACTGTTTGGTAAAAGTCCCATCTTCAGAGTTGGTTTAAACATCTCTGCCCCTGTGAAACTCTCTCTTCCACATCTTGCAGATTCTTTAAGATAGCGTGTTCGTAGCGGCGTTATTCACAATAGCCAGAAGGTGCAAGCAGCCCAAGTGTCCATGGACAGATGAGTGTATAAACAAAATGTGGCATTTACATGCACTGGAACATTATTCAGTCTTAAAAAGGAAGGAATTCTGCCATGTGCTACAACATGGGAGAAACTGGAGGACACTGTGCTGAGTGAAATAAGCCAGTCACAAAAGGACAAAACAAATACCGTATGATTGCACTTATATAAGGTACCTAGAGCAGCCACATTCATAGTGACAGGAAGTAAAACAGTTGGTTGCCAGGGGCTGGGGGAGGAGGAACGGGGAGCTGTTGTTTAATGGGTGCAGAGTTTCAGTTTTGCAAGATGAGAAGAGTTTTAGAGGCAGTGGTGGTGATGGTTGCATAACGCTCTGTGAATGTAATTGATGCCACTGAGCTGGACACTTAAAAATGGCTACAATGGCAAATTTTATGTTATTTTACCATAATTTTAAAAAACACATAAAATACATTGTGTGTATTTTGCCACAGTTTTTTTAAAAAGGTAGCATTATGGCATGATTTGTAATTTTGGGCCTGTATCTCACAGTAACCTGAGGCTTCTTATGGTCTGGGAGCATTTCATATTCATTTTTGTTCCCTGGAAAGTGGCACTTTGCAGGGCACGTAGTGGGTGCTGAGGTCTGGCTGCCTGCAAGTGAGAGATGTGCCGGTGAGAAGACACCATTGACAAAAACACACTCCCCAGCCAGCTCCTGCGAACACCCCGTCCCCTAGATGGAAGCGTTCAGTACTGAAAAACTGCTCATTTAAACTCTTGCCACCACCGCCCCATTTAGTGGACAATACCTGTAATTTAACAAATAATACCCTTGTGCTATGAATCAATCTACCACTTACTGCCCAAATGATACCCAGAGAACAGCTTTAGTAAGTCGCTTGGCAAAAGCTGGCTCCTAATTATTTCCACAGATCTCTTGTAGGTGTGAAGATGCTGAGGACGGCTGTGTAGGCAGAACATTAACTGCAGCTCCTGTTAAAAGCAGCCTCCTTCCGATCCTGTTTCTGATGCCCTGTGAGGGAGGTTTGCTTACTCGCAGACAATGTAAACCTAACTCTGTTCATTTGCACACATCTGAAATTTCCCTCGAAGCCGTAAATATGAATTATCTAAGAAACTCTTGTACAATTTGGTAAACAGATTTGTATTCTTCAGTCTTAAAACCTCCAAATCACAGGATTATCGGAGATTCTAAAATGTGTGAGGATAAATTGCATTTGGAGACCGAATTATAACTCCAATAACCTGACTTTTGATTTGTGTCCTGGCCCGCTCACAGTGTCACCTTTAGCTCCGTTTATGTATTTAGAGATTGTATCCAGGCAGCGTAGTCCTGGGATGACTTCACTCCGGATTCATCTCCGCACCTGTCCCCAGCCCCAGCACTCCAGGCTGTCCCTCTGGTGTAGGATTTGATTGAGAGGCAGACGATGACATGGGAATGCGCCAGCACAGCAGAAATGGTGCTTTATTCTCTTTCAGTCATTTCCTCTGCTCAGATTCCTGGAAGTAATAGTAAATAGGAAAATGTAATAGGTACTAAGTAGGTTTCTAATTCATAGAAGAAATAGCAAGTAAAAATAAAGAACCAAATGAGGTAAATACCACCCTGGGCTTCCTGGTTAGATTCTAAACACTGGCTGCATTTTTCATTTAGATGATTTTGTGGTTGATTTGATCATTTTAGAGAGTACTGGGCCATTTGAAAGCATTTTCCAGCTAGAGGTAGATTGATTTTGGTTTGATATTTTTTTTTCTTGCTCAGTGCTATTACTGGGATAATACATTTTTACAGATGTGTACTAGACCTTGCTATAATGTGCAGAAATATTAGTTTCCTACATTTTCTCCTTTTTTTACATAATGTTTTCTCAGAAACTCCACCTCTCACACCCAGGTCACCCTGCTTCCCCTGGCTGCTCTCTAATCCTGGCTGTGTAGACTTTGGTGCAGGAACCAGCAGCATCCCATCTTCTGGGAGTGTGTTAGAAATGCAGACCCTCAGGCCCACCCAGCCCTCTTGGATCAGAATCACATTTGAACAAGACCCACTGATAAAGTCAGCTCTCTCCCATAAGCAGTTTTTGATGACTGATAATTCATGATTTCCAAGAAACTTCCTTTGGCAACTTGAAATTGATCTCACGAATTACCCCTAACCCCTCTTAGGGTATAAAATGAACATGTGACTCTAGAAAGTCCTGAGTCACTTCTGACCTAACAGATTTTTTTTACTCATATTCTGCAAATCATGAATTTACATTATAATTTAATTCTGTGTGATTGCACTTTTATGCATCTATATGCATCTTTCCAGTAGAGTCTGTGTTCTCTTACAGACAGTTTTCATCCTTCGATCTCTGCCCTGTTAGCTGTAGTGTTCCCTCCTAGCCTCTGCTGTGCGTGCCGGTTCTTTCTGTCAACAACTTAGTCCACCTGGCTACGGGCACCCACTTTGCTTAGAGACGACAGTTTCTTGTCCCACCCACCGCACATACTCACCTGCATCCAGCATGCTTTAAATGTCTGGCAATAGGATCCATACGGCAGGCCACTTCCTTTAACCACAAGCACACCACTCTCTACTGACTCTCTTCTAGCTGGACTGAGGAAATACTGTTGCAGACCATCAACAGAATGAACAAGAGGCAGGCAGACCAGGTCTGAGCCCTATTCTGCCACTTACGGGCTCAGTTATTTAAACAGGTTAATTAATCTTACTAAGCCTCAATTTTTTCTTTTGCAAAATGGAAGTAATAGCACTTAATCTCTAGGGTTGTAGTATAATGTAAACAAGATAAGATGTGTAAAATACCTAGCATAGAGATCGACACAAAGTCAGTGATTGATCAAAGATAGTCGTCGTTATCATAGGGTATAAAATGAACTTAGTCATTTAAAATGCATAAATTGCTCTGTGCCCCGTGAAAATGAGGGGTTGGCCATTTGCAATTATATCTACAGTTATAGGATTCATCTGCCACGTCTGTCTTCTCTGTCCAGCTTATTGTATACCTGAACATATGGTAATAGATTTTCTGTAAATTTTTTAAGCCTGAGTTACATTCTCAGCTCTCTGTGGAATTCCCATTTTTCACAGGACACCACAGGTAATACCAATAACACAAAGGTGAATCCAGTATAGATCCTGCTTTCAGCATATAGAGTCCAGTAGAAGACACATAGTATATAAATGGCTACTCTGAGAGATCAAACGTGGTCACAGATTTTATGGATTTTTAGGAAAAGGTGATATGGCACCCACTAGGGGTGGGAGAAGTCCAAATGCAGGGACAGGTGGAGGATTTTCATAGAATTAGGCAATTGAAACAGATTTGTGCCGTGTGACTGGGGTTTCAGCTGCTGAAAAGGCAGGAGAAAGGCATTCAGGTGGAGGGACAGGCAAGAGCAGAGTCACAATGACAAGATGTGACTGAAGAATTAGCCGCCTGCAGAGTATATGGGGAGGGGACTACCAGACATTTTCACATTCTGATATTCAGTTCTCCCAGCCACCTACTCAACCTCAAGGAAGCGGACTTGTGGAGCTGAAGATAGAAAGGTTAGTTGGGACCTTTTTTTTTTTTCCTTTTTGTCTTTTTGTGTCCGGCAACGGATCGCAACCCTCAGTGTCGCGCCCGTACTGGACCGGGACCGGGACCGGGACCGGCAACGGGATCGCAACCCTCGGTGCTGCGCCCGCACCTCGCTCAGCCAGTGAGCAGGAACCGGTCTATATGTGGGATCTGAATCCTCGGCGGGAGCGCCGCCGTGCTCCCAAGCGGCGCACTGTAGCAGTGCGCCACCGGGCCGGCCCAGTTGGGACCATTTTACAGAGGAGGTTTCCCAGTGTGAAATGCCAGGCACACAGCCGTCCTTCGGAAGTTTAATCTGAGGAGGAAGTGAGCACACAGGGATCACAGCGGGAAGGCACGGGAGGCAGGACGGGTGGGAGACAGGACACAGCACCTGTCGTGTGCTCCTAGCAAGACGTAATGGGGAAAGCCATCGCATGGTTTGGAATCAAAGTAATGTTGATTAAAACGAAGTTATGACACCCGGGTTGGGGAATGTGCAGGAAATGGGTAGGAATAGAAGTTGGTATATTTCTGGAGGGGAGTTTGGCAGTACTTAACAGCCTCCTTTGAAAATGTTCATACCTGTTTCTCAGTAGTTCCACATCTAAGAATTTATCTTAAGGAAATAATTAAGGTTGTTTGTAAAGATTTAGCTCCAAGGATATTTAGCATGGTGTTATTTATGAAAGCAAAATATTGGAGAACAGCCTAAACTCCACACATAGGGGATTTGTTCAATAAATGATCATACTCATAGACTGTAATATTATGTGACCATTAAAATAAATATTTTTATGAGATGAAAACAGATTATAACAATATGTTTATATTAATCTCGTTTTATTTATATGAGTTGCATCTTTGGGCACACATACACACATCTAGAAAGAAAATATATATCGACATGTAAAGAGGGTTCTATCAGAGTGCCAGGATTATGGCTAGTGTTTATTTACTATTTAAATTAATTTGCCTTAGAGCACAACCTTATAACACCAACGTCACAGGTTCAGATACCCATACCAGCCAGCTGCAAAAAAAAAAAAAAGAAAGAAAATTCATTTGTACTGGTGATAATTAGGAAAAGAATTTGTTTTTTTAAAAGGTAATGCAACCTTGCACTCAGGTGATGGCTGCAGGAATTAATATAAGGGGATTGTGTCAAGAAGCAGAAGAAGTAGAGTCTTTAGCACCAGGCTGGAGTTGGAGAAAGCTGGTAGTCAGATGAGCATTTGAGCCTTTGAGCTTGGGAAGAAGTTAGGAGTTTAAAATGTAAAATGGGGAAGTCAGAAGCAGCTGCTTCTTTGAGTGGGGACTTGGGTCTTGCGCATGTTGAGTTTGATGTTTGAAGAGAGAGCCAAGTACAAATGTCTAACACGTTGATGTGATCGTCAGAGATCAACCTTGGCCTAGTTGGGAAAACATGAAGGAGCAATTGCAAAGTAGATAAAATAGGACTATCTCAAGGTAATCCTTTAGAGTAATGGGTATAAACATACTGATATTGGTTTTATTCTCCACAAGCATTTGATAAAACCCATTGGTGAACTGTGAAAGATGTTCGGAGGCTATAGTTTAGATGACTTGGGAAGGTAGAGAGAAATAGCCAGAGCCAGGTTTTCTTTGAGTTGCTTTTTCTTTTTATCCTCAGTTGAGTTTGGAGCTCACAGTCCTGTGGTCACAGGCAGCCCTCGGTGTTTCCTGCCTTTGAGGGCCCATGCCAGCCATTTACCAATAGTCTACAAACGTTTGGGTTTACACAGATGGATAGTTTCCCGTAGAGCTGATAGCATGTGAGTGTCCACACATTCCCACAAATATGGCATTTTCCTATGTCTTGATGTGTGGTGATTTACACATGAGAACACCCAGAGGTATACACAGAAACACACATAAGTCACGTATGTATACGCGCTAGGAAGTACCTATTGCAGAAAATGGCCCATCTGTAAAATGTAAATTAGAACTTACCATAAGGTAGGAAATGGCTGTTTAATCTAATTAAACAATTAGATAAGCCACTTTTCTTACATTTAATCTGTATAAAGATAAATTTGTTTTTGAACTGCCATTATTGATTTTACAGATTAATTTTTAAAAGTTTGATGGTATTCAAATGAGATAATATGTAAAATTCCTAGCATATAATCAGTGTGTACTGAAGTTCAGTTTCTATTTAAAGCAGTGAGGTTTTTAAATTTTTAAATTTTAAATTTTTACTAAATTAATTTACAAAGGATTGAAGGCATGTCTTATGCTCTTCGTTGATACTAGATTCCTAAATAAGGATGATGTCATCTCTTGGGATGCTCCCACCAAGGAATTTGCAGTTGAGCAAACTCATTGGTAGAAATGCCAGTTTCTGCATGCAGGATTAAGTGCACACGTCCAAAAGCCAGTTTTTACAATATAGTTTCATTCCTGACCAGCGTTATATTGATTCTTTGATCTTATTGTCTGCGTACTTCATTTCTCTCTGCTTCAGTTTTAATAAAAGGAATGATACTTGACATGAATCTTTCCCAAGGGGCAATCAATCGTAGGTATTAATTGGTTTGTAAAATGCCTTTTGAACTGTTTAGATGAAAGGCCCCGCATAAGTAGCAAATGTTATTTGTGTTTTTGTTGATCTCATTATGTGTATTTTGGCTACTGGTTACTGTCTTTTAATACACTGAGACCTGCATTTTAAATTTTAAGACGTTTCCATTTGAGACAGAACATAACCAAATATTTAATATCTAAAAGTGATTTAGTTTCTCTACCAAAGAATAATTCATCTTAAGTGATAGAACTGTGGAAGAATGAATACTTGTTTGTGTATAATACTTCTGGCTTGAATTATTAACGTCTCTGTGAAATTATCTTAGAAATTTTCAAAGTTCAGAATACCCAGAGCCTAGAAGTAAAGCTAATTTAAAAGTTGTCTTCTCATTGGCTGTTTAGGAGACTGTTGGCTTCTCATTGCAGTAGATGGATTCTGTGATTTTTAACTCTTTAGAATGGTGAATCTCAACCTGGGCGAGTTGTGCACCCACGGAAATGTCATTTTTGTTGTCACAACTTGCGGGGTGCTACTGGCATCTAGTAAGTAGAGTCCAGGAACACTAGTAAATGTCCTACAATGCACAGGAGAGTCCCCCACAGCAAAGAATTATCTGGCCCAGAATGTCAACAGTGCTGAGATTGAGAAACTCTTTTGGAACACACTCAATACAACACTTCCTTAATTCACCTTCAAAATCCAAGGTTTTCTCCTAGGCTTGTTGCATACTGTTATTTTTAATCCTTCCTCCTGATCTTTCTATAGGTTGGCATTGTGGGAAGAACAGGAGCTGGAAAAAGTTCCCTCATTGCAGCCCTTTTTAGATTGTCAGAACCTGAAGGTAAAATTTGGGTTGATAAGATCTTGACAACTGAAATTGGACTTCACGATTTAAGGAAGAAAATGTCAATCATACCTCAGGTATGCAAGTCCGTTCTCACATGTTCCTTTTATAAGGGCACCTAACTTTAATTGCTTTTAATTTTATTGCTTTCTTTTTTTGTTATTGGATGAAAGGGTTGAGGCTTTCCCCCTCAGCAGAGCATATTTTTAACAGCAGATATCTTCATCAGATACCAGGGTTTGTGTGTGTGTGTGTGTGTGTGTGTGTGTGTGTGTGTGCGTGCGTGCGCGCGATTTAACAGTAACTTCTCCAGGTAGATTTTTGGACTCAAACTTCCCCACTTGTCACAGTTTTATCCATTGATAAGCTCATAATTCTGAGAATGAGATGATAAATGGTTTGTTTTGCACTCAAGAGGCACCTATAGGGAGACATGGATTTTAAGTGTCTTAATGATGGAATTTTGCTGTAGGAAATAAAGCTGCCTTTTCAAAGGTGATTATCTCTGTGGAGGGCTTTCTGTGAAACTGTGGGGCTGTGAGAATTACAGAGCTTACAGATGCTTTGGGAGACTTTTAGAATCTAGCCATTAGTAAATGATTTTAACCTGGGAGGTGTCACATCATAGTGAGGAAGAGCTCGGGGAAAGGAATTCCATCTCTGCAGCCTTCTCTTCCTCACTAGGCAGCTCATGGGGACCACCTCTGAGAGCTGTTGCGAGGGCTAAGCCCCTCACTGCGTGGTCTTTACAATGGTAGAAGGTTGAATTGGCCATCTCTTCCTGGGCTCAGATTCTATTTTCTTTTATTCTGCTTCTTAGCAGAATAGAAGTGAGACTTTCAGGGAGTGCTCTAGAGATCGGGTTATATGCACAATAGAAGCTCCTGTCGTGGCTTTCAGTTCATCCATGCAACATAAATTCAGAAAGTCCTTATTCATTGAGCAGTTACTCCTATCCAGGTATGTAGCCATGGGCAACATGTTCCCTCTCTCTGGTGGCCTGGAGCCTGCAGCCGGGGGGCCTCCCCGCTTTCATCCTGGCCTCTGCTTTGGCACTTCCACATATTCAACTCCCGGCTTTCTGTTTTGTGTTTCTAATTTGGGATTTTTTACATGCTGCAATCATTTGGCCGTCAAAGAGAGTTGAGAAACACACACACACACACACACACACACTCTCTCTCTCTCTCTCTCTCTCTCTCTTATACTTGAGATGAGAAATACCAAAAGGAAACGAGAAAAAGGGCCAAACAAATGAGCTTTCTGGGCAGGTGGATATAAAGAGCTCTTAAATGCCCATTTATTAGGGAGTGTACAGAACATGACACCTCAAGGCAAGTAGAATGTGGACATTTTATTTAGACATCAGTGTTACTGTAAGTAATTTTGAAATCAGGATATTCCTTTCAGAACGATGCAATACAACCTCACACCCATTGGGATGGCTACTATTTAAAAACAAAACAAAACAGAAAATAACAAGTGTTGGTGAGGATGTGGAGAAATTGGAACCCTTCTACACTGTTGGTGGGCCTGTAAAATGGTGTAGCTGCTGTAGAAAACAGTATGGGGATTCCTCAAAAAAATTAGAGTACCATATGATCCAGCAATTTTGCTTCTAGAGTATATACCCAAAAGGATTGAAAGCAGGGTCTCCAGGAGATGTTTGTACAGTCATCTTCATAGTAGCATTATTCACAAAAGCCAAAACATGAAAGCAACCCAAGTGTTCATTGACAAATAAATGGATAAACAAAAGTGGTATATTCATGTAATTGGAATATTATTCAGCCTTAAAAAGGAAATTATGACACATGCTACACCATGGATGAACCTTGACGGCATTATGCCGAGTGAAATAGCCAGTCACAAAATGACAAACACTGAGTGGTACCGCTAATATAAGGTCTCTACAGTAGTGAATTCATGGAGGCAGAAAGCAGAATGGTGGTCTAGCCAGGGCCGAGAGAAGGTCGGAATGGAGAGTTATATGGTTTAATGGGTGCAATGGGTTCAGTTGTGTAAGATGGAAGTCCTGTGAATGGATGGTGGTGGTGACTGCAAAACACAGCATGAATGTACTTAATACTGCTGAACTGTATACTTAAAAATGGTTAAGGTGGTACATTTTATGTCATGTGTATTTTACCACAATTTTTTAAAAATTAAAAAAAAAGATATCCCTTTCAGGAGGAAGGGGAAGAAATTTTCAACATATGAGATTCTCTCTGGCTATGAGAAGCATGACTTAGTGGTTACAGTAGAAAATGAGAGTTCAAATTTCTAAGTTTTATATTTTGATTGTACCCATCTCATAAATGGGCCCAATGAAATTTACTTGCAGAGATAATGGGCGTGTCTGTAAAGTACTTTTGTATCCTTGGACGAAAGGATCTAGAAACGTGCATTGTGTTACTCTTGGTGCTTTTAATAAGAAATGGTTGTGTGCTTGTATACATAAAAGAACTCTAAATAAAGAAGTAACATTAGATGATTCTTGGCTCTGCCAGCAATGTTTTGGAAGCACATCTGAGCAAAGACTAAATATACCTTGACATCACCAGGTTTTGGTTCTGTTCCATAAGTTTCCACCCTCCTTTTGTGCAAATGCTCTCTATATATGCTCCAGAGAGCATGCTTGCAAAACAGTGCTAAGCTTTGTATCCATGTAGATCATGATCACCAAGCATTGTAAACACACAGCCTTTATTTTTTAACTTTATATGCCTTTGTTTCCAAGGCACAATGTTGATTGATGAGAGAAACACAGTCTGGAGAGACTGTACAATGTGTAAAGAGTCCCAGAAAATCATTCAGCAGGCAGCCTGGGATAGAATCTTCCAGGACATGTGAGGTTCAATATAACCCACATTTATGTATTCTGGCTGTGCCCTATAAGAGTTATGTGACCTTGATGAAGTCACTTAACCTCCAAGTTTGTCATCTTTGAACTAGGTCTAGTAGTTACTGCCTCATGGATTTGTTACGAAGATTTAACTGGTTGAGAAAATGTTGCCCCATACCTGGTTCTTAGAAATGCTCAATAAATAGTAACTATTTATTATTAAGGATTGGCGTACTGGCCTTTCAAATATTACTGGTACTTAAGTAAAAATGGCAACACATTCTGGAAGGACTTTACTTGTTAATTTCTATTTATGTTTTTGTGATCCTTGGTGATTTCCTTTAAACCAAACTGTTTATATAAACCTAAAGAGTGAAGCAGCCAAAAAAAAACAACGTACAATCGGAGTTCTAAGGAAAAGCCTAACAGAGAAATCTAATGTTTTTCCCACAAGGAACAAAAGGTGAGACTGTCATTTTTGTTTTCTGACTCGCCTCCTACCCCAGTCACACCAGTTTTCCTGACCACACCTCTGTACCCCACTAACACTTTGCAGCTCCCCACGAAGACCGCTGACATTTGGTCTCAGCCCGGCCCACATCCTGGCTGTTTTTGGCCTCCCCTTAAGGATGGGGAAGTACCTATCATTTCTGTTGCTCCAGTAACTGTTGAAGTCCTAGACAAGCTACACAAGCAGTAGTAACTCCTAACATTTGTAGAATCCTGAACATGTTTTAGTTCCTTCCCTCCCTTCATTCACTTAATCCTTACAGCAATTATGTTTCATCCTCATTTGACAGATGTAAAAATTGAGGCACAGAGAGCTTTACCCGCTTAAGAAAGAGGCAGAGCCAGCATTCAAATTGAATTTAGGGAGATTCCTGATTCCAGATCCTGAGCCTCCTAAATGTTCTACTAGGGACTTTCAAATGGTTTTTACTATGCTCTACAGTAAGAATTCTGCTTTGCATCATGATTTTATGTGGGCACGTGCACGCGCACACGAGAAGAAACAGAAATTTCACAAAACAGTATTACTCTGTGCTCTGATATTTTCTAATATATCCATTCTATTCTAGTTCATATAAAAGATGAAATGATGGTCACGAGCCACAAAATTGATTTCATGATCCATTGGTTGCACCTGCAGTTTGAAAAAAACTGTGCCTCACTGTCCTGCCCCGCTTGGCTGGACTCCTGCAGCCTGTCAGCTCCTTGCAGGCACCTCAGTTAGGTTACTGATTCTCACTGCAGCGCTGCAGGGTGGGTGGGGTTATCTCCATTTCCCAGGCAGGAAGCTGAGGCCTGGGGAGATCCAGAACCTACCTTGAGGCAAACAGGTAATAATAATAAGTAGTAGAATCAGAACTCAGGACTGTCAGACTCCAAAATATTTTTTTTCAATAAATTTTTGTTGAACTGAATGATGTCTCATCAGATATTTTACCCATTGCTTTTCTATCCACCCCACTTAAAAAAAATTTCCCCAAATCATAACAAAAGACAATAAATATAAAACAAAGTTGAAATATCTCTTCTCCTAGAGCTTTGTCACTCATTTGGACAGTCTGGTGATTGTTCGTGATTTTTTTTTTTTTTTTGCCAAAACACTCAAATGACACTCAGCACTAAGAGAAAATCATTTTAGAAACGGGTTTATTCATTTACGTGTCACGAGCTAATGAGTGTCAGGGGAAGGTACTCAAAGCCCTGCCTCTGGGAGCTCAGAGCCCTTCCTCTTACCAGCTCTCACTGGCTGCAGAGGTGGGAGGAGGCCTGTTGGCGGGGGACTTCCAGTTATTTGAAGGTTACTGGTCTGCGGTGCAGAAAACCTGCATGCATCCATCTCCTCCCGAAATGAGTGGGCAGCAGGGTTGTTTGTGCTGCAGCACCCGAATGAGAGAACCTAGGAAGTTGGAGCAACCACAGCAGAAGGGGGACCAAGTGTTGTTTCTCTGAGTTGCCAGGTGTAGGCAAGTCCTGCCTGTGCCTTCTCTTCCTGGGCAGGACAGCAAGCTGCTTCTTCTGGGCTCATCCCCTTAGTTTATGGTTCAAGGTCCCCTGTCACACTTGACCCTGCCATGAACAATTCAGAATTAGGGGATAAGTGACAGCAGGTAGGACCCGGGTAGGAATAGGCATGTGAGTGGTGACATACACATGGTGGGGTCATTTTAAAAAACAAGTGCTGTATCCTTAAGAATGTATTCCTCAAGTTGTGTTCAGAATTTCAGGAATAAGCAAACAGTGAACATACTTCCTAACTGATTTCTTTAAACAGAACAGGTAGTCTGTTTCCTCTGTGCTCATGACCTGAGGTGGTTAAATGCAGTCACTGAAGAGAATACCAAGCTGAAAATGTTCAGGGAAGAGCTTGCTTATCTGAAAGGATCTGGAAAAGGATTTCAAAACTTTTTTGGATGGATTCTTTACACCTAGAGTCCCTTTTCTGTTGGCACAGAGAAAATGTTTTCAATTGAAGAGTAATTCCATGCAAATTCAACATTTATAATAGCACCTTGAGGGTTGGCACGTGTCAACAACCGTAATCTTTATCATGATTAAATGGATTCTTTTTTTTTTTTAATATTTAATAGATTTTTCTTTTCTGTATCAAAGCAAAAGGTAGGTGTTTTTTATAAACACTCCACTGCTAAGTCCTCTGCTATTTTTATATTTCTATTCTCTGAGTTTTCTTCTTAGGTTGAAAAGGTTAACCAGAGCTGTGTATCTCTTTAAGACTTTTTAATTACCTGGTTTTCTTTCCCTTTTTTTTCTTCTTTTTGAGAACAAAACTCAAAGAGAAAAAGGTAGGTATGCTGTTACTAGTAAAGAAATACAATTGGATTCTGGCCTAATGCAGTCAGTCTTTTGTTTCTGTACACTGAGTCGTCATTAAAGCCCATGGAACTGCTCCCTGGAGCTGGTGACCTTTTAGTATCTAAAGAAGACTTTACACGACTTAAATTCTTTTTCCTTTGTAGGCGAACAGTGTTCTTTTCTTCTGAAAATGGATGATGATCGGTTCATTCAGAGGCTACAGGATTAAAAAAAACCAAAACAAAACCAAGATTTAAAGTGACTTCAGGTCACTTTTATTATTCTTGAGCTGGGGAGATGAGTTGCCCTCAGTAAAAGTTCTTAGGATTTGAAAATGAAAGTGGAGGTCTTAGGACACCAGGAAACTGCAGTAGTAACTACTGATGGGTAGATATTTTAGTAGAGGGAAGTTTCCTGGTTTGGAACTCAAAAAGATTAGGGTAAAGTCTTGTGCTTCATCTTGCTGGTTTGTAACTACTCATAGAGTTTTTGTCTTGGTCCCAAGCCGTTTTAAGTGTCTGAAGGTTAGTGAGTAGAATTTCTTCTTGAGATAATGAGAGGCTTGACTTCCACTAGCACATACAAAAGGTCCAGGAAGACTGTGGTTTTTAGTCCTGCAGTTGTATTGAGGGATTATCAATTTACTACTCTAAATGCTTTGATTCAGAGTGGCCTTTTTTGGGTCACATGCCTAATAAGAACTTGCGTTATGTTAGTAACAGAAGAAAAAATTACTACTGAATATGACACAAAGGATAAAAAAAAAAGTATGAACTTTGAACTGTGATGAAAAACAGGTTTGATGCGAGTGCTCTGTTTAATATATTACATTGAACAGCAGCATTTCTTTTCCTAACTGTACTGTGCCAGCAAACTATGGAGGTTAAAATAAAACTCTTATCAAATGAGGTTTAAATGTGTTCTTTCAGAAAAAATATACTTAGGCTAATAAATTTTGTATATATTTACATGAAGGTTGTATGTCCTACCATAAATCTCTACTCTGAAATGTTCTGCCTGCAAACATTTTTATAACACTTATTTATAAGATTAGTTTATTAACTTCATTGCATGGAGGTGGGTACTTTAAATAATACTATCAGAAATGAAAATTAATTTGACTCTTATCTGCTCTTGCAGTATGTGTCTACCATGAGCACTTTTATTACCTTTTGAAGATAATATAATGGTTTCTTATTTGGCAAGTGGATGAAAGTAGAATGAGTGGAAACCAGAATGAACACCATGCATAAACACATTGGCATATTAAAACAGACATTGTTAACAAATTGCCTGCTGGTTTTAAAGAAAAATATAGCTTCAATCAGTTAATGTTTTATTAAATCATTCTCTTCACTTAACAAATTTTGATTGAAATTTTACTCACTATGAAATAAATACTTGGCATGTCTGTATAACAAAGGAAAGTATTCTTATTTACCAAACTGTTTTCTTCCATCTAATGGTGCAAAATAAACATGAGTAATTGCTTAATATTTCCCTTTAAATTGAAAGTACAGATTCAAGTGGGAACCCTTATTGCAGTGGGAAATGCTTGAACTTGAATTTTCATTTTTTAATGACAATCAGCAGTGTTTTGGTGATAATTGGCAAAACCTCCTTAGGGTCTGCAGAGTATCTGAGGTCAGCGTTCAAAGCTCAGCCTAAAGCAGCTGCAGACTTTGTTCAGGGGCTCGGAGTGAGCAACTCATTGTCCTGTGAAGAATGTCACTTTAGTCCCCGAGTCTTTGGAGCACTTCATCCATTTCAAGGACTTTCCTAAAGACTTTCCTAAAGGAAAGAAAGTTAGGGAGGAGACAGGTGAGAGCCCTGATTATACTTGAATTGCATATTGCTGTGCCTGTTCTCTGGAGCCACCAAAACCACTTTTCCCAAACGTGCTAATATTGTGATCCCTTTCATCGCTTAACAAGGAGGGAAGATCAGTCCTTAAAAAGTAAAGCGATTTTTTTCATAGATTAGTTTAGGTATCGTCTCTCTAGAGTGTACTTTAAATACTCAGACGGATACTCTATCAGACCCTACACCTGATAGTGGATGTGATTTTGCTCTACGAGAGGAACCTAAAGGGGGAAAAGTTCAAGTAATACAAGCTGTCTTGGACGAGGAAATGGACCTGTTGTTAATAGAAGCAAAGAGACCACCTCTCGCTTCTCCAAATGGGCTCAAAGCTGATTTCTCAACTGGTCTTCTTTCAGCCCCTTTTATCTCCTCAACACCTCTCCTCCAACAGTCTCTCAGTTTTGTACACCAAATAGAACAGCGCCCAGAGTTCAGAGCCCTCATGGGGCGGTGGAGGATGCCAGGAAGAGAGAGCAGTGATGAGAGGCAGCCTCCCCTCACCTGGCCACATCCTTTCTGCAAACCTCCTATAACAACGAAAGGAGGAGAAATTACTAGCCTGTTGGAATCTTGGAGGTGATAATTACAAAGAGTCTGGAACATTTTTTTAAAAATCTGGAGTAGAACGATGGTTGTTCCCCTGACAAGAAATTTCCACCACTGCTTAGGTGGCTGCATAGTCTTCAGTCTTAAATCCAGTAGTTTTAAGGGAAACCTTTAATATGTTTTTTGAGACTTTTCAGTTCAATTCAGTAATCATTTTGAAATATGGTATGACCTGGGATTGTTAAGTGCTTTCAGCCACTTAATCGATTTTGTGCAAATAAAATGCCCATTGTAATGTGTTTTTAATTTTTGGATTTTGCTGAGTGATACATATTTTTTTGGTGGCACACCATCCGCCTTCTACATCATGTCCCCTCACCAGCCTTGCAATGGAGATGATGGGGAAAGGTCTGAGAGCCTCTCTGAATGTACTCCTTCACGGCCGGCAGGAGAAAAGAAAAGCCTGCCTCCTTAATCTTTGTTTTCCGGCCTTTGAGAAGCAAAGAGGAATGGTCCAGCCCCAGGGCGAGGCAAGATTGGAGGCTGGGGATTCCTTGAGGTTCTCTAGTGCCTGTAAAAGAGTCACATCCTCTTCTTGTCCTCACACCTGTGTACCCCGTTGTTCTGCCATCCTCATTGAAAGTAGCCAGTTGGGCTCTTCTCTGCTGCCTATGTCCTTGTGATCTGGGTTACCAGAGCCTTCCAGAAGGAAACTTACAGCCTAATAAGATTATGTACAAGGTTCTCTTTTGAAATCTAGGAGGCAAATATTTCAAGAGTGATTTAATTGTGAGCTCCTCCTGAAGCAGATGAATAGGAAGAGCTATTTAAATGAAAATAATTTTCTTATGACATGCTTCACACTGGCTCTAAGGTTCCCCTGCTCTTGTAGTTAATAACGAGGTTCTGTGAGGCATGTAACCCTGATGCACAGACACGATAATGTGGGGATTTGTTCATGCAAAATCAGAAGCTGTGTCTTCATGGATAGAAGTACCATTGGCCCCATTAGTTTACATCTCTTTTGGACAAGGAACTGACTGTCCCATTTGGACATGTCAAGAGATTCCCAATCCTGGAAGACTGTTTACCAATGGACAAAATATCCTAATTTATTCTTTCTTCTTTAGCATTTGAAAATATTTGACAATCTTATTTTAAGCACAAAAAAATGCTATTGGTATCTTCCTGTATCACACAGGATTGACAATTAATTTCTATAGCTCTCTTGATGTGATGTTTCTCAAATAATTTTATCCTTGTATTTGTTGTTTAAGCAGACATTACCAGGAAAGCAGTTTTAAAAATCAGGCCTTCTTTTTTCTTTGTAAGATGACACACTGCAGCAGTTTCTTTTGTTAGTTATTCAATGGTCTGGAGGATATTTTGGAGCACATTTTGTAGTATGGAAAATAATAGAGATGTTGTTGTGTAAACAGGCATTTGATTTGCAACCTTATAATTAATGAATATAGTGAAATTTGGTTTTTTATATTTTAATTCTATTCTGAAAGTTAGCATTGGAATAAAATGAAAAGAGACTATGACAATGACATTCACTATTTTGGGCCTTTAGGAACCTGTTTTGTTCACTGGAACAATGAGGAAAAACCTGGATCCCTTTAATGAGCACACGGATGAGGAACTGTGGAATGCCTTAAGTGAGGTAATTTTTAAAATGCAATTATCTTTGTTAGCATCGGTATATGTATACGTGTTATAGCATTGCAGGTAATTAAAGGAGCTTATTGGTTTAACTGACTCTGTTCACCACCTAGGAGGACACTGATGACATGGGTTGTACTCAAAATATGTGCATTGATCATGATGTAAACCAAAAATAAAATGTTTCATGTTCTCATTTTAACCTTCTTCCTTTAGTTCAAAACAGCCAGCTGCATTATCTTATTTGTCTTTAGCAGAGCACTAAACTAGAAGTTGCACTTATAGGTTAAAATTGAACTGGATGAGTAAGTTGCCCTGCAACATTTATTTTACTGCTCTATTCTTAGATAACATCTAATAAGTGTAGATAATAGTCATTTTTCATTATTAACTGAAGTTTTTCATTATTAACAGTTAGAATGTGATAATTGTTTATTGGCAAACATGTAATTTTTTTTTTGGCCCTGGCCAGTAAGGGAATCTGAACCCTTGACCTTGGTGTTATAACACCGTACTCTAACCAACTGAGTTAGCCAGCCAGTGCCAAACATGTAATTTTAATGCTGCAGAGTGAATGCAGGTAATAAAACCCTGGAGCCTTTGCTAAGTTTGTATACTAATACGTTCATTTCTAGAGGGTTTTCTATTACTTGTAGTGGCTCCCTATGGACCACTTTGAATTTCCTTGCCCTTGCGTGACAAGGATTTTGACTGTTCATGTGCTCTTGGCTTGTATATTTTAACACTAATTATTGTGTGTGTTCACCTTAGTTCTGTCAATTAATTTTAAGCTATCTGATGGCAGAAGCCATATTGTAACACTTCTAATCCCTCATTGGACCTAGCTCAGTCTTTTACTTTTTAATGGTAAGCATTTATTATCTGTGAATGGTTGATCTCTTCATTTCAGAGAAATGTGGCCTTTTAAAATTTTTTTTATTTTTTTTAAAGCACAGATTACACTGTTGTTATAGGTGTTTTGAATCGGTACATTTTTCATTGTTGCCCTTTCGGGGATAGCTCTGAAATCCTTAATTTACAGATGGGTTTTGACTGTGCACAAGCAGATTTGGAGGCCAATTTCCTCCCAGTAATTCTTGTTTCTGGAGGCACATCAGTGCCTAGTCTTTATACATCCACCCTGCTTTGCAGCAACCATGGGGATTTTTTTGTCCTCAATTGGGTCGGTTACTCCACCTTTTCCTACTTGAAAAGCACTTGACCTCTGATTTCATTCAAGTTTGTGTGTCTTTCTACAGTGAGATTTTAGGAGAGAAGAGGTAGGGAGACATTTAACCATCAAATATGAAGACAGATAAGATGATCCAGTGCTCCTGAACTCATAGGACAAATTTAATAGTAAAATTTTGACACACCCTCAAAGAACAGGAATTACCTGTAAATTATTTTTGTTTGCTACAGAGCTTAATATTTCTCTTCACAGAATCCCAGGGAGTAAAATTACTGTATAAACACATTGTTCCATGGACAGTGAGGAAATGTGAATTGGGAGATGATTCTATCACAAACCATCATAGAACTTGGCTAACTTGCATTTATTTTATCTGTAGTAGCCGAAGTTAAAATAAAATTTAGTAGCCTCTCAGAATTCTAAAAATGGTGAGGTGCTGGAAGCGGTAGGTGACACTATGGTCTGCTTTTATTTAAACTATATTGGGGGGTCCAGGAAGGCGTGGCCCCGCCCCTAGCCCGCCCACCCACGCGGCACTGGCTGGGGGAGTTGAGCCGGTGCAGGTTGCTCTCGAGTGGAAGACGCTGGTGTGTGAGACGCGAGGAGCCCTTGCTGGTCGCCGGGCACGACTCCCACGCGGACCTTCCGCCCTGGGCGCCAGAGACCAAGAGCGACCGCCCAGGTCCAGGTGAGGCGGTGGGGGCGACATGGGGCTGGAGGCAAGGAGGGGAGGGGCGCGCCCGGGCCGAGTGTGCCCCCGGGACCCGAA